ATTATCCTGATCCTGCTGTCCCAAAGGAATGTCTGATAAGTCATCTTCACGGCAGCCAGACTCAGGGCAGTGAGAGTCCATGAGGGATTCCAAGCTCCTTGTCTTTGAAGGGAGTGCGGGTAATCAAAGGAGAGTAAAAGTCCTTTCTGGAACATGTTCTTTCTTGTCAATAACCAAATAGAGGACTCTTCACTCTTGATCACCCCTGGCCCAGCTGTTGCTACCCTGAAAAGACGTAGGCGCATCCAGAAGAGGTCTTTTAATAAACACGGTTTAAATAAATCTCTGATGTTGTAATAAGCAGCCTGATGCAGAAATCCCCAGTTCTGATTTGTGGTGCTTACTACAATATTATAAAAAGTCTTGGCTTTGGAAAGGTGATGTGATCCCATTAAGACGTCATGAACTAAGGAATTCTTTCCCCCATCTCTTCAGACATCCAGTTCTACAATTTTGCCTTGTTTTTTGTCTGATGTCCCTCACATCCAACCTGGCCCCCCACAATGTACTTCTTTCCACTCAGATCACACCAATTGGCCACTGAACTCTATATCTAACTATTCACACGGAGATACAATCAAAAGTTAACTTTTGCATGCTTGATTTTACAATGTCAAGAGGAATTCTCAACCTAGTGATGGCTTGAGTACCTGAAATATTTTTGGAAAAGTGGGAGGGAACTTACAAATTCTTCCTTGTCCGCCATATCCATTCACTCACTTAAATTGTTTATAAGACAATAAAACATATAAAAGCAACATTTTCACCAGGCCAATCACCTCTCTCCAGCCTCATAATGATTAGCTTACATTCCTGTATCCAGATTTCCCTATAATTAATAATGTTGCATTTTTACATTCACCTCTTGATTTTACTCAGCTCCATCCTGGAACATTAAATTTGTCTTGGCTTAGCTATGCTAGTTTGCACTTGGCCCTTCCTGATTGTCAGGGTCCAGGCTTGTAAATTATGTCCAAGTTCCTCTATTGCTGTTCCTGGGCCTGGGTGGCATGCAAGGTCCTGATATCCGCATCAGCCTCAGCTCATGCTGCTCCACATTGCCTGACTCTTTATCTTCAGATCCATCCCTTGCTGTTAACTTTTCTATTTAATTCCTGAAACATCACCAAATAGGCCAAGATATGCTTTCATTTGGTGCCTTCAGGGAAGATATGCAAAAGGCCCATACAATAAGGAAGGTCTAGGATCACCTTGCTGAACCCAAGAGACTAGGGAGAGGTCAGTACACCACGTGTCTTTTTTTTTTTTTTTTTTTTTGTAAAACATGGGGTCTCATTATGTTGCCCAGCTTGAACTCAAACTCCTGAGCTCAACTGATCTTCCCATGTCAGCCTCTTGCTAGCTGGGACTAAAGGTGTGCACCACCATGCCTAGCTCCCAAATGTCTTTTGAGCTAAGGTTAGTTAGCTCCCTCCGTTCATTGCAATTACATTAACCTGTACCATGTTTTATGAAAATCCTTCATATGGTACCCGCAAGTAGTATGTATTTGTCATTCCCATAGATAGCCACTGCATTAGGGAAAGTTGTGTGAAAGAAGGTATTGACAGTTGGTACCTGCAGGTTAAGGGCAGATATTACAAGGGTACTTCACAACTGAAGAAATTTCAAGTGGTAGACAGCAAGGTGGCTTTGAGCAACCCTGTGGCCAATGTCCTCAACAGTTGTTTTTACCATAATGCAGAAGATCTTTCCCTGGGACTATATCTTACCATGTCCCTTGATTACAAATAATGGTGTAATGACATTATCTAATAATTTAGTGGCTGCTGTGACACTGATTTGGTGCTTAAGCTAATGAAATAATAGAACAAGCTCACATTTAGCAGCTTTTTGATATTAAAGACAAACTCACGCTGAAAACCCAGGATACTCTGCTTAACATGTGTTTATAATGATTCCTAATTTAAACAAACAGGTCCTTAGCCCAAGATCTTTCCTATCATTTGGATTTAATTTTGAGGCAGTGGAGGGCAGTTAAATATATGCAGAGGGACCTATAAAAGAAATGGCAAAGTGGCTCACACCTGTAATCCCAACAGTTTGGGAGGCCACGGTGGGAGGATCACTTGAGCCCAGAAGTTCAAGATGAGCCTGGGAAACATAGCAAGACCCTGTCTCTACAAAAATAAAAAATTTTAATTAGCCATGCATGGTGGCATGCACCTATAGTCCCAGCTACTCAGGAGGCTGAGAGGAGAGGATTGCTTGAACCCGGGAGGTCAAAGCTACAGTGAACCATAATCATGCCACTGCACTCCAGCCTGGGTGACACAGCAAGACCTTGTCTCAAAAAAAATAAAAAATAAAATTAAAATTAAAAAAAAAGAAAGGAACAATTAAAAAATCTGTTTGGAGGTGTGCTTTGAACACAATTTAAAGAAGAATGGTCAAGGATTGGAGACAGTATTATCTGAGTCATTTCTCAGGATGCTATGATAACAATCTGATGCGTTTGGCCGGGTGCAGTGGCTCACGCCTGTAATACCAGCACTTTGGGAGGCTGAGGTCAGGAGATCGAGACCATCCTGGCTAACACGGTGAA